ATTATGGCAATGTCAATGACCGCGAAAAGCTCGAAAGTTTGACCGACAGTCGGGAGAGCCTGGTGCATGTTTCACTGGGACCCGCGTCACAAGGCGAGGCATGACGTCACGGCTAACCTACATATCTTAAGGGGGTTAGCACGAAATAAATGTTAAAACGTGAATTTTACGTCGATCGTTAAATTTTCGAGAAAAGTGGAAAACGACAGCACCATCGACAAGCAACACATGTATCCAATATGTAAACGGTGTAAAATTTGCAAGAAAGCCAGATTTTGCAGATTCTTATATAGCGAAATAACGAACACGTTTTTCGCGGTATCATATCGCGATGTCATACGTAAATAGACAATCCTCGAGTGGGGTTGAACGAAAAGTGCGAATTTATACAATTTTTCCAGATATCGTCCAGATTTTTAAGCGTCTGGACAGCGAACTTTCGTCGACTTCGCGTTACTTCTTCGATAAATTTGTCCCTATCTTCAATCTCACCTATAATTGCAATTCTGCAACCTTCGCGCCTTAAAAATTATTTGCATTGCAATTTTAATTGCTACCTTCAATCAGATGACATATGTATACACACCTATGCTAATCCAACCAACGCGCACACGTTAGACTACTGCTTTGCATATAAATGTTGCGTGAATTGCCATAGAATTCGCGAGTTAATTTTTCATACGGTTGGGATTCTCGATTTGCAGGTATTATGGCTACATAAAAGAGAAAATATTATTTGCAAGAGCTGCGAGGATCGCGCATAATACTTTCCCATATGATATATACACGTAATTCAATGAACATAAACACGAACCCTTATTCACCGGTCAACCGGCAGCAGGCAGCGTCGCAATTAATTATAAAAGCGTCGACGAGATCTTCAGCAGAGTTCCTATTATTTGCAACGTCAAAAAACCAACATACGTAAAAGTGTCAGGACGTGCTTTTCACTCGATTGAAAGAGAAAAAAAAACAAAAAATCTCTACCAAACCATGAAATAAGTTACAGCGCTGAAAGCACAGGGTACTATACCACGCCTTCCTTCGCGAGCTTTATTGATTTTGATACACTGCGACTGAATGCATAAAATAGCGAGTACTTGTATCACTTGGAAAATTACTAACCCGACCTTAATCTATAATAAATAGATAACCGTACCAATAGCCACCACTGTCCTCCTGCGACAAGCAGATACATTGACGATAGGTTAACATTGAAACATAGAGTCAACTATTGTCTATCAGCCATTAAATGACAAAAGATCTCGAAAGGTTCCGAGCGAATCTCAACCCTTAAAGCATCGCTATAAATATTTCATATTATTCAGTAAAATCCAATCTGACTGTGCTTCCTACAAGTGCCTTCCCTTCCGTTCTTTTTCCCCGAGCCTCCACAGTCTTTCCCCACTTCCCAAAGCACCTTCGAGACTTGTAACCCACGTCTCGTTATAAGCGCCAATTGAAATTTTAGGTTTAACATGTATACACCAGGGGTCGATATAGTGTATTTCGCTTAAGGCTTGTCAATAAGCAGCCTAGCACAGGTACGATTTTAGTTCCAGCATTGGTGAAATTTTAATACTTCAGAAATACAACACCCACAGTCCCGGCGTGAGGTTTGTAACAAGATTGTTTTCATTTGAAAAAAATTCTCTCACAAAAATTCCACAGAGCGTTTCGAAGTCTCTCGTGCGCGACATCGTCTTACCGTAATCGGCAATAGGAAAAAGCCCGACTTACCCGAATACCTTAAGGGGTATTCGCAACGTAACAGAAAAAGGAGCAACCGCGCAAACGACAATAAAACCAGGTTTTATCGAGAGACTAAGAAACAGCCGGAGTTTTAGAATGCGATGCGACGAGCACGGCAATTCCGTCGGCGTACGACGTCGACGTCCCGACGCCCACTTCGTATCGACGCTCGTAAAACGAAATCGTATTCAATATTCTAAAGCGTGGTCTACCGAGACCAATAAGAGGTCCCGAAGTTATTGTAAACCCGCTCCGGAGCAAATAGAGAAAGAATGAAAATAGAGGAGAATCAAACAAAGAGGGACGAGAGACGAAAAAATGGTAAAGCTCAAGATTCAAGTGTAAGAAGCATTCAGCCTCCGTTCTCGGGTTACAAGATTTATCAGAATGGGCTGGAATGAACCGCGGGTGTACAGAACAAACTATGACTGTCCCGAATGTTATGACGACTCTTACTGTACATAATGACACGTGGTCTCGCCTACAGAGGATACCTAATTGTAACGATAAAATAGAGCGAGGTACGTGAGAACAATATATAAAGGAGGAAGATAGAGTAGGTCTAAAACTAAGTCGGGACTAAAACTGGTAGATTCTCGAAATACACATCAAGTGCGATGAACGTGATAGCGTTAAGCCTTGTATACGTAAGCGCGCGTATTTGGAGACCGCAGCTACCCCAAAGAGATGATCCGAAAAACAAGTCCCGGTTCAGGATGTAAATACTTAGTCTACCAGAAAATCCAGAGTGCCGCTCCATCCTGCGGGATAAATATTAATTTTCCCTACTGTGCCCGGAACTCGTGGAATTGTTTGGTGAATGGGGGCTAC